TCAGCATCATCATCATCAGCAGCAGCAGCAGTATTAGCATCAGCAACAGCATTAGCATCAGCAACAGCATCAGCATCAGCAGCAGCAGCAGCAACAGCAGCAGCAGCAGCATCAACAGCATTGACATCAGTAGCAGCAGCAACAGCAGCAGCAGCAACAGCATCAGCATCAGTAGCAGCAGCAACAGCATCCTCAGTATCAGCAGCAGCATCAGCCGCAGCAATAGCATTTTTTTTTAGAGGACATTCCTCTCATTATCTAATAACATTACATTCACAAATTTACCCCTAAAAGAAATCAAATAAAAACACGTAAATAAACAGAAAAATAAATCCAGGGACCTGTCCAAACACCAGAGACAACGGTAGGCATGTACGTGTAAACCTCCCTCCATTTCCAGGCTCTCCCCGACACCGGCATCTTCCCACGCCAACCAAAACAATTCTCTGGATCGCCAAGGGTTTCCGGTAGAAGCGGTGGCTGGGGGGGGGGGAGGGGGTGGAAATAGAGGAACAATAGCATCCGGGCATCGGGACAATGTACTAGCCAGCCATTTAAATTCCGGGCAGACTTGGAAAGGAGGCAATCGCTAGACGACTAATTAGATCATTAACTGAAGCGAAAACATTGCATCGAGCGATCGAGCGGGGGTGAGCGTGACAGACGGCTCTAATTGTTGTACAGTCTGTAGCGAACACATAAACGAGGGAGAAGGCCTGTGTCGGGCCAGAGGGTGCCTATTGGGAGCAGAGTAGGGAGCGGCGGAGGCCGGGGGAGCCAAACCTATGGAGTACTTGGGAATGGGTTGATAAAGCTAGCCCCATTGGCGTTGGTAATGTTTCAAAGGCTGTTAATTCTAGATAGCCTTTGAGTATTAGGAAATTTTGTGGCAGAGTTCAAATCCAGATGACTGGAAGGTCAGCTGATTGGTTTGAGTATGTTAATCTTAGCTGACTATTCGAGAAGTGCCAAGTCCGGGGTTAGTTCTAAGGAGGGGGGGGGCACAGGTAGTATTGAGTTACGGGTGCCAGGGTTAGGTAATGCCAAACCGTAAAGGACTTTAGACCTCCTGGCCTCTTGTACCACCAACTGTGTAACTATTTTATTGACTCAGGTGTTCTGGACGACATCCTAACAATTTATCCAAAATTTGCTTGTCCATTTTAAAGAATGAAGAACAATTTTTATTTATATTACTTCTAAGCTGCATCACTTATGAACCCATCCCTGCCCTTGTGTGGCAGTGCACAATAGAAAGTTGTTTTCACATATTCATACATTAAAACATTGATTGTAACCATGATATACATGTGTTACCGCCTGCAGTTTAGACCTATTGTCTTGTGTATGACCCTCTGTCCTGCGTGACAGTGAATACCAGCATTATCCTCACTTAAGACTTAATCGAAATCCTCAGATTAGGCAAAATTGTAATTAATTTTGTCAATAAAGATGTTTATAATAATAAGGTAATGCCAGGCTCAAGATAGGTGTTTACTGGGGCAGGTGGCGTCTGGAGTGTGTCAGGGCAAGAGCTAGTATGTCAGGGCAAGAGCGAGTGTGTCAGGGCAAGAGCGAGTGTGTCAGGGCAAGAGCGAGTGTGTCAGGGCAAGAGCGAGTGTGTCAGGGCAAGAGCCAGTGTGTCAGGGCAAGAGCCAGTGTGTCAGGGCAAGAGCCAGTGTGTCAGGGCAAGAGCCAGTGTGTCAGGGCACGATGATACTAGGATGAGGAGTCGTTTGTGCAGTTGGTGTCAGATTCATGCAGCTCTCAGTGTCCGGAGGGACCCGAAGTCCAGATATCACATGGGGGGGTCATGGCCAAATACTGTTGAGAACTAAGTCATGTTCAAGGCCAGGTAGTTCAATGGTGCAGACGATGAGTCACAATAACGTGGCTAAAGTATGTTGACCAGACCACACACTAGAAGGTGAAGGGACGACGACGTTTCGGTCCGTCCTGGACCATTCTCAAGTCGATTGTGAGAATGTCACAATCGACTTAACAATGGTCCAGGACGGACTGAAACGTCGTCGTCTCCCCATCTTCTGGTGTGTTGTATAGTCTTCTTAGTTCAACGGTCTTAATAGACCTCATTGCCAGAGTAGTTAGTGGGCCAGAGGGGAATAAATCCGGGGGGGAGGGGGGGAATGCCAGGGGCCAGACAATGCGATAACGAAGGAAGTACCATATCCAGATAGTGTTAACTGCCAGAATGCTCACTAGGAATAACAAATGTCCACATGTCAGCAAGAAAGAAATTACGGTATTTTTTCAGCCTCATTTCTTGAGTTTATCTTGAGATGATTTCGGGGCTTAGTATCCCCGCGGTCCGGTCCTCGACCAGGCCTTTACCCACAGGAAGCAGCCCATACCAGCTGTCTAACTCCCAGGTACCTATTTACTGCTAGGTAACAGGGGCATCATCAGGCTGAAAGAAACATTTTTGCCCATTTGTCTCCGCCTCCACCGGGGATCGAACCCGAAACCTCGAGACTACGTATCCGAAGCGCTGTCTACCCAGCTGTCAGGCGTCTGGGGAAAGAGGGAGCCATGATTAAACTGTATGTGATTAAAGGATGTCCACAACAGCCTAGATTTAAGAGAGGAAAGGGGTGTCTCAAGCAGCGAGGCTACGAGTCCTAGCATCATAACCGCTAGTACCAAGCAAATCGTTGGCTTGTCGATGCTAGGGGAGTGCCTGTCCATACAATGGTGCCAGAAACAGTGCCCAAGAGTTTCAGAGTTCAATAGTGTTAGCGATGGCAATGGAAGGTTGCAGAGTGAGTATGTAACAGGTTTTTTTTTAATTAAATGTAAAAATATATTTACAGTATAGAAATTTGAATGGAATAAATTTTCACTAAACATTGATGGTACAAATGTTTAGTTATTCATCAGGGCCGTGTGTACGAATGTAGTAAAATGTGTGGCTAAATAATTTGTTAGAGTAATGTTGAATATCAAAGGAGATTTCATGCTGGTAAATATATATATGAACTGAAATGGATACAATTATATATTATATATAAACATACACACACACATCTATGCAGTTTTAAGTGTAGATGTGATAGAGCTCAGTAGCCTCAGGAATCTGTACACCAATATAAAAACTTAATTTATCGGCAGGTGAGAGGCAGGACCAAAGAGGCAGAGCTCAACCCCTGCAAGCATGACTTGGTGAGTACACACACTTAAGAAGAATACTAAATTATGAACAGACAGCATGAATAGATATCCACCAAAGGGGGCGAGGGCAGGGGAGGGTGGCAAATTAGCTTGGAAACAGTAAACTTGTGGAAACGAGACATGGAACACTAAGCTTGTAGAAGTTGAAGAGAGGAATTTCCAGATGCAACATGTCAGGCAAGGAACAAGGAGAAGGATAGTGGTGAGCGACTGGTCTCCACACATAATGAAATGGACAATGAAAACACGGACCATGAAATTCCCCTAGAGGCCAGTGGGAACTAGCATTCAGTACCTCGCAGATTTCCTCGTATGTATGTATGTAGGCGTGTATGTATGTGTGTGTATGCATGTGTATGTGTTTGTATGTGTGTGTATGTGTGTGTGTATACATGTATGCTCATATATGTATTCACCTAGTTGTATTCTCCTAGTTGTGCTTGCGGGGGTTGAGTTTTGCCCTTTCGGCCCACCTCTTAACTGTCAATCAACTGATGTACAGACTGATGTGTGTGTGTGTGTGTGTGTGTGTGTGTGTGTGTGTGTGTGTGTGTGTGTGTGTGTGTGTGTGTGTGTGTGTGTGTGTGTGTGTGTGTGTATTTTTGTTGAGCTCATTGTTCAGCGAAATTTCAAAAACGTGTTGCTTTATATACTAAACAAAAATTTGGTTTACAAAGCTCTACTCAAGCCTTAACGGAAAAATGAGCACTCCCATTGCATATAGAGCCGAGTTCACATCGCTTCGCATCCCCACCTGCGAATAGAGCCGAGTTCACATCAGAGGCCAGAGCAATGAACCACACACGCTATCTTGCAAATAGAGCCGTGTTCACATCATCCACGAGCGATAGCAATGCACTCCACACTCTCACAAGCGTATAGAGCCTCGTTCACATCGCCCGTGGACCCTATGCAATGCACACCTCGCCGTTAGAGCCTCGTTCACATCATCCACGAGCGATAGCGTACTCCACACTCGCCAAGCGTATAGAGCCGTGTTCACATCATCCACGAGCAATAGCAATGCCCCCACACTTATCGTGCCCATAGAGCCTCGTTCACATCGCCTGCGAGCCCTAGCAATGCACTCCACACTCTCGCAAGCGTATAGAGCCTCATTCACATCGCCTGCGAGCCCCTAGCAATGCACCCCCGCCTTATCGTGCACATAGAGCCTCGTTCACATCGCCTGCGAGCCCCTAGCAATGCACCCCGGCGCTAGATCAGGCTTAAAATCTCCAATTAGCTGACAGCTGATCATTTTCCCGCTAAGTATGGAGTTGGGAAATTGGCTGCGTCAGATTATGAGGGGCTTTGATGAATGCATTGTGGCGTGTCTGATGAAGAGTCCCGACTCTCCCATGGTCTCGCTCCTTGCTCCGTTCCTGGCTGTTTTGAAACTCCTAAAAAAAAGCCATCCTCGTAAATTGTAATATCAAGTTTGTCTTTATTTCCACTTGTATATATATATATATATATATATGTTTACATTCGTCAGTCATAACTATAGTAAGTCCCAATGTTACGTAAATATATTTACGTAACATTGCTTATAGCACTTTGGGAATTTGTAAGTTGGCTGAATAGGCTTCCCGGCTTGGTGCCTTCCTTTGGTAGTTTGTTAACGAACCCATTTGGACTAATAGTGGCCCTTAAAAAGGATGTTCTGCTGCTGTTATGGGGGGGAGTGCAGGCGCCCTTCCTCCTGACGGCACAGTTGAGAGGCGGGACCAAAGAGTCAAAGCTCAACCTCCCCCCCCCCCCGCAAGCACAACTAGGTGAGTATAGAATCATGTCAAGAAATATTATACCTATTTTTTTATGAATGTATCACGCTTTGCTTCAACTCTGTCCTTGTCTTGTATAACTCTGTCCTTGTCTTGTATTACTCTGTCCTTGTCTTGTATAACTCTGTCCTTGTCTTGTATAACTCTGTCCTTGTCTTGCATAACTCTGTCCTTGTCTTGTATAACTCTGTCCTTGTCTTGTATAACTCTGTCCTTGTCTTGTATAACTCTGTCCTTGTCTTGTATAACTCTGTCCTTGTCTTGTATAACTCTGTCCTTGTCTTGCATAACTCTGTCCTTGTCTTGTATAACTCTGTCCTTGTCTTGCATAACTCTGTCCTTGTCTTGTATAACTCTGTCCTTGTCTTGTATAACTCTGTCCTTGTCTTGTATAACTCTGTCCTTGTCTTGCATAACTCTGTCCTTGTCTTGTATAACTCTGTCCTTGTCTTGTATAACTCTGTCCTTGTCTTGTATAACTCTGTCCTTGTCTTGTATAACTCTGTCCTTGTCTTGTATAACTCTGTCCTTGTCTTGTATAACTCTGTCCTTGTCTTGTATAACTCTGTCCTTGTCTTGTATAACTCTGTCCTTGTCTTGTATAACTCTGTCCTTGTCTTGTATAACTCTGTCCTTGTCTTGTATAACTCTGTCCTTGTCTTGTATAACTCTGTCCTTGTCTTGCATAACTCTGTCCTTGTCTTGTATAACTCTGTCCTTGTCTTGTATAACTCTGTCCTTGTCTTGTATAACTCTGTCCTTGTCTTGTATAACTCTGTCCTTGTCTTGTATAACTCTGTCCTTGTCTTGTATAACTCTGTCCTTGTCTTGCATAACTCTGTCCTTGTCTTGTATAACTCTGTCCTTGTCTTGTATAACTCTGTCCTTGTCTTGTATAACTCTGTCCTTGTCTTGTATAACTCTGTCCTTGTCTTGTATAACTCTGTCCTTGTCTTGTATAACTCTGTCCTTGTCTTGTATAACTCTGTCCTTGTCTTGCATAACTCTGTCCTTGTCTTGTATAACTCTGTCCTTGTCTTGTATAACTCTGTCCTTGTCTTGTATAACTCTGTCCTTGTCTTGTATAACTCTGTCCTTGTCTTGCATAACTCTGTCCTTGTCTTGTATAACTCTGTCCTTGTCTTGTATAACTCTGTCCTTGTCTTGTATAACTCTGTCCTTGTCTTGTATAACTCTGTCCTTGTCTTGCATAACTCTGTCCTTGTCTTGTATAACTCTGTCCTTGTCTTGTATAACTCTGTCCTTGTCTTGTATAACTCTGTCCTTGTCTTGTATAACTCTGTCCTTGTCTTGTATAACTCTGTCCTTGTCTTGTATAACTCTGTCCTTGTCTTGTATAACTCTGTCCTTGTCTTGTATAACTCTGTCCTTGTCTTGTATAACTCTGTCCTTGTCTTGCATAACTCTGTCCTTGTCTTGTATAACTCTGTCCTTGTCTTGTATAACTCTGTCCTTGTCTTGTATAACTCTGTCCTTGTCTTGTATAACTCTGTCCTTGTCTTGTATAACTCTGTTTTTATCTTTTGTTTTTGTTGTGTATAACTGCCCTTGTTTTGTTATATCTGTCCTTGTCTTGCATAACTCTGTCCTTGTCTTGCATAACTCTGTCCTTGTCTTGCATAACTCTGTCCTTGTCTTGTAGAGCTCTGTCCTTGTCTTGCATAACTCTGTCCTTGTCTTGTAGAGCTCTGTCCTTGTCTTGCATAACTCTGTCCTTGTCTTGTAGAGCTCTGTCCTTGTCTTGTAGAACTCTGTCCTTGTCTTGCATAACTCTGTCCTTGTCTTGTAGAGCTCTGTCCTTGTCTTGTAGAGCTCTGTCCTTGTCTTGCATAACTCTGTCCTTGTCTTGTAGAGCTCTGTCCTTGTCTTGCATAACTCTGTCCTTGTCTTGCATAACTCTGTCCTTGTCTTGTAGAACTCTGTCCTTGTCTTGTAGAGCTCTGTCCTTGTCTTGCATAACTCTGTCCTTGTCTTGCATAACTCTGTCCTTGTCTTGTAGAGCTCTGTCCTTGTCTTGCATAACTCTGTCCTTGTCTTGTAGAGCTCTGTCCTTGTCTTGCATAACTCTGTCCTTGTCTTGTAGAGCTCTGTCCTTGTCTTGCATAACTCTGTCCTTGTCTTGTAGAGCTCTGTCCTTGTCTTGTAGAGCTCTGTCCTTGTCTTGCATAACTCTGTCCTTGTCTTGTAGAGCTCTGTCCTTGTCTTGCATAACTCTGTCCTTGTCTTGCATAACTCTGTCCTTGTCTTGTAGAGCTCTGTCCTTGTCTTGTATAACTCTGTCCTTGTCTTGCATAACTCTGTCCTTGTCTTGTAGAACTCTGTCCTTGTCTTGTAGAGCTCTGTCCTTGTCTTGCATAACTCTGTCCTTGTCTTGCATAACTCTGTCCTTGTCTTGCATAACTCTGTCCTTGTCTTGTAGAACTCTGTCCTTGTCTTGCATAACTCTGTCCTTGTCTTGCATAACTCTGTCCTTGTCTTGCATAACTCTGTCCTTGTCTTGTAGAGCTCTGTCCTTGTCTTGCATAACTCTGTCCTTGTCTTGCATAACTCTGTCCTTGTCTTGTAGAACTCTGTCCTTATCGCGTACAACACGGTTCCTTGTCTTGTACAAAACAACAGCTGCACTCATATCCACTTCACAAACCTAACTGAATGTATAACTACCATTAATCTTGTTCCTGGCTACAGGCAGCCTACCATACAAGGCCCTACGATGTATAATGCAACGCGCTGTCATCTCCAACGACCTCATCCCCAATTCAGTGACAAGTGATTCTTCCTCACTCTTAAAGAGTACGAGCTAGGAAAAGATTTAAAAAAAAACTTGCCGTCTGGGGATTCGTCAAGCTCTTACGAAACCTGTGCATCTTTCAGCAATCATGGCGGCTTTGTTTACATATATTAAACACCTTTATGTGCTTCGAAATTTCACAATCCAAGGTTATTATGGCTAAAAATAACCTCGTAGCGCTTCGGGGCTGAGAAACTGTTTAGTAAACAATGCCGCTATGATTCTTCAAAGATCTACAGGTTTCGTTAAATGAATGTGATGAATCCTGTTGAGCAGGACGGCGCCGTGATGTATGGAGGTTGCCGCTTTGCGATTGACACTACCTTTAATTTGCTCTCAGAACTCTGCCAGCGAATAATCTGGCAATATTTTATCTCGCGTTTCGTGGGGAAGGGGGGGTTTGTGGGAAGGGGGACGTTGGTAACTGTGTGGCCCAGGAGGAGAGAGAGAGGGGGATGGAAGGGAAGGGGTGGAGTGAGAGGGGGGTGATAGAGGGAGGGGAGGAGAGAGAGAGGGGGATGGAAGGGAAGGGGTGGAGTGAGAGGGGGGTGATAGAGGGAGGGGAGGAGAGAGAGAGGGGGATGGAAGGGAAGGGGTGGAGTGAGAGGGGGGGTGATAGAGGGAGGGGAGGAGAGAGAGAGGGGGATGGAAGGGAAGGGGTGGAGTGAGAGGGGGGGGTGATAGAGGGAGGGGAGGAGAGAGAGAGGGGGATGGAAGGGAAGGGGTGGAGTGAGAGGGGGGGGTGATAGAGGGAGGGGAGGAGAGAGAGAGGGGGATGGAAGGGAAGGGGTGCAGAGAGAGATGGGGGATAGAGGGGGTGATAGAGGGAGAGGAGAGAGGGGTGAGCACGTTATATGATGAAGGGTGAAAATCTAACGATGTACAGTGAGCAAATAATGAACTAGGGTGAACAACCTAACCTGCAAGGATGCACGGAACTGTAGATGTATCTTTCTTGTAACCTCGAGTCATCTTGGGAGGTTTTCAGAGGCTTTAGACAATCCAATTCTCACCTTAATGTCAATATCGCCAATACTGAAAGCAGTATTGTTATTAATCTCATTATCACCAATAGAGCATTGCAAAGGCATACACATTACGCCTTTGCAATGATAATGAACGACTGTGGTTTTGTGGTACTAGGCGTAGTGTAGACAAATTGGTGTACCAAGAAGAGTACCCAATTTCTGGGTGTATGTAAACCTGTGAGTTTTCTTTAAAGTCCTGGACTATATTTGTAACTAAAGTATTCCTGCTCGTGGGCCAGTAAGCTGTTGTGGTGACCTAAATAACCCTCCAGCGATTGATTGTCCTCAAGTCCAGCACCAAACCTCGTATTCCTGAGGTTCAGGGTTCGATCCCCGGTGGAGGCGGAGACAAATGGGCAAAAAGTTTATTTCACTCTGATGCCCCCTTGTTACCTAGCAGTAAATAGGTACCTGGGAATTAGACAGCTGCTAGGGGCTGCTTCCTGGGGGGTGTGAAATAAAAAAGTAGGTTTAGTCGAGGACAGGGCCGCGGGGACGCTAAACCCCGAAATTATCTCAAGATAACCTCAAGATAACTATATATCCACAATAACAGGTCTGAGTACATGTTAGGGTTTATTGCACACCTTTGTAAGGTTAAGTTAATAATTTGATATCCAAAGGTGGCGCTCCCAGAAGCCCTGTTATAAATTAATTCTTGCTTCGCAGCGTGTTATAAACTTAGTATTACATGGATGACAGTTCCGTTTTGTATGTGCTAATTGACACACCTAAGGCAATTCAGTATGGATACCTCGAACTCCCAGAGCGTAATTAAAAATGACAATCAGGTCCCCACCGGTGTGTATGTCAGGGGCAGGTGTACACACTTGTGGGTATGTTAGGGGCAGGTGTACACACTTGTGGGTATGTTAGGGGCAGGTGTACACACTTGTGCGTATGTCAGGAGAGTGTATACACCTGTGGGTATGTCAGGGGCAGGTGTACACACTTGTGGGTATGTTAGGGGCAGGTGTACACACTTGTGGGTATGCCAGGAGAGTGTATACACCTGTGGGTATGTCAGGGGCAGGTGTACACGCTTGTGGGTATGTTAGGGGCAGGTGTACACACTTGTGGGTATGTCAAGAGAGTGTATACACCTGTGGGTATGTCAGGGGCAGGTATACACACTTGTGGGTATGTTAGGGGCAGGTGTACACACTTGTGGGTATGTCAGGAGAGTGTATACACCTGTGGGTATGTCAGGGGCAGGTATACACACTTGTGGGTATGTTAGGGGCAGGTGTACACACTTGTGGGTATGTCAGGAGAGTGTATACACCTGTGGGTATGTCAGGGGCAGGTGTACACGCTTGTGGGTATGTTAGGGGCAGGTGTACACACTTGTGGGTATGTCAAGAGAGTGTATACACCTGTGGGTATGTCAGGGGCAGGTGTACACACTTGTGGGTATGTCAGGGGCAGGTGTACACACTTGTGGGTATGTCAGGAGAGTGTACACACCTGTGGGTATGTCAGGGGCAGGTGTACACACTTGTGGGTATGTTTGGGGCAGGTGTACACACTTGTGGGTATGTCAGGGGCAGGTGTACACACCTGTGGGTATGTCAGGGGCAGGTGTACACACTTGTGGGGTATGTCAGGGGGCAGGTGTACACACCTGTGGGTATGTTAGGGGCAGGTGTACACACTTGTGGGTATGTCAGGAGAGTGTACACACTTGTGGGGTATGTCAGGGGGCAGGTGTACACACTTGTGAGTATGTCAGGGGGCAGGTGTACACACTTGTGGGGTATGTTAGGGGCAGGTGTACACACCTGTGGGTATGTCAGGGGCAGGTGTACACACTTGTGGGTATGTTAGGGGCAGGTGTACACACCTGTGGGTATATCAGGGGCAGGTGTACACACTTGTGAGTATGTCAGGGGCAGGTGTACACACCTGTGGGTATGTCAGGGGCAGGTGTACACACTTGTGGGTATGTTAGGGGCAGGTGTACACACCTGTGGGTATATCAGGGGCAGGTGTACACACTTGTGAGTATGTCAGGGGCAGGTGTACACACCTGTGGGTATGTCAGGGGCAGGAGTACACACCTGTGGGTATGTCAGGGGCAGGTGTACACACCTGTGGGTATGTCAGGAGAGTGTACACACTTGTGGGTATGTCAGGGGCAGGTGTACACACCTGTGGGTATGTCAGGGGCAGGAGTACACACCTGTGGGTATGTCAGGGGCAGGTGTACACACCAGTGATGTAATTTTCCATTTGGCCTCTCCTCTCCCAGGTCATTTATTTACATGTGCCTCCTAATATTGTGGTGTGGCAGCTTCGGTTGCTCATTAGCACTGGATTCCATATCTTGAATTGCTTCTTCGTTCCTCTCTTGCTTGTTATTTATTCCTTGCCTCTGCATATCTCTGATATTTTGGTTCGTCTTCGTTTTTCTTTTCCCTGTTCCTCTTCCAAGTTCTTCTTCTCTTTCGTGCCTTGAGGTCACGAATAAAGTCTGTTAAATTAGGGAATGATATTATGTTTTGCTCCCTTGTCCCTTAGTATTGGAATGGATCCGAGCGTCTGTGGGGCCAGAGTTCCTTACGTCTTACACAGATGTGTTCTAGAGTTCCTTACGTCTTACACAGATGTGTTCTAGAGTTCCTTACGTCTTATACAGATGTGTTCTAGAGTTCCTTACGTCTTACACAGATGTGTTCTAGAGTTCCTTACGTCTTACACAGATGTGTTCTAGAGTTCCTTACGTCTTATACAGATGTGTTCTAGAGTTCCTTACGTCTTACACAGATGTGTTCTAGAGTTCCTTACGTCTTACACAGATGTGTTCTAGAGTTCCTTACGTCTTACACAGATGTGTTCTAGAGTTCCTTACGTCTTACACAGATGTGCTCCAAAGTTCCTTACGTCTTGCACAGATGTGTTCTAGAGTTCCTTACGTCTTACACAGATGTGTTCTAGAGTTCCTTACGGCTTACACAGATGTGCTCCAAAGTTCCTTACGTCTTACACAGATGTGTTCTAGAGTTCCTTACGTCTTACACAGATGTGTTCTAGAGTTCCTTACGTCTTACACAGATGTGTTCTAGAGTTCCTTACGGCTTACACAGATGTGCTCCAAAGTTCCTTACGTCTTACACAGATGTGTTCTAGAGTTCCTTACGTCTTACACAGATGTGTTCTAGAGTTCCTTACGTCTTACACAGATGTGTTCTAGAGTTCCTTACGGCTTACACAGATGTGTTCTAGAGTTCCTTACGTCTTACACAGATGTGTTCTAGAGTTCCTTACGTCTTATACAGATGTGTTCTAGAGTTCCTTACGTCTTACACAGATGTGTTCTAGAGTTCCTTACGTCTTACACAGATGTGTTCTAGAGTTCCTTACGTCTTATACAGATGTGTTCTAGAGTTCCTTACGTCTTATACAGATGTGTTCTAGAGTTCCTTACGTCTTACACAGATGTGCACCAGAGTTCTGCAGACCACTGCACTCCTTTAAAAAAATCCATTATTTAGGCACTCGTTTATTTAAAAGAGTGTAACTGAACATCAGTCAACAGTAGTCATAGACGATTATTGGCATTTCCTGGTCCATTAGCTCAGTGTTTGGTTAAAGACGCTGGTCTGGTCATCTTGATCAACACAGAAATCATCGATAAATACAGCGATAGCAGGAGACTCGATATCAGCGAGGCACTACACATCAAAAAGTCAACACCAGCAATCAACAGCCAATTAATGCACAACTATATTCTGCCCACTTCAAGACCCCGAACCAATATAGAAGCAGCAAGAGGAAGTATGGACCAATAGGCCCTCTGCAGTTACTTCCATTCTTATGTTTTTCATATCCAATTTATACCCATTGATTCGTGTTCTGGCATAGCTTTGTCACCTCACCCACAACTTTTGTGCCATATCACCTCACCCATAACGAGTATAAGTATGATGTATTTTATGTGTAAACAAGTCTTTGAAAATTTAATAAGCATTACGAAACGCGTTCAGGCGTCAGACCAGAAATAAAGAAGGAATTTTGGAGAGTTGATTTTTCAATTACCCTCGACAGTGAAGAAAAACGTAAGAAGTATTGAGAAGATTCGTAAGAATCTTAAGAAGACACATGTGATTCGTAAGAATCACGTGTCACACCCTAATAGATGTTGGATGAAACATATTCAGCCTAATCAGTCCATAACAACTACACGCATACGCATACGTCAGGCTGCGAGCAGCCGCGTCTAACAGCCTGGTTGATCAGTCCAGCAACCAGGAGGCCTGGTCGACGACCGGGCCGCGGGGACACTAAGCCCCGGAAGCACCTCAAGGTAAGGTACACAGCTAAGGATATATTTGTATGCAATAAAGTAGATAGATTTAATAATACTGTAGATTAGGCCACCATATGTGGTATAATTTATATTTAACAATAGGTAAACAATTGTAACTTATAATATATCCACTCATAGTGGTATAAGTTATAATTGTCCCTCCAAACAATGTGCAGATAAGTTCTGGCAGAATAAATCAAACATACAGTCCACTTAGAATCATAATAACTCAATATTGAAGTTAACAAAAATATAATAAAAATAAATAAATGCCTGCTAGGATTTTCCCACAGTTCCACTTCTTGCAAGATTAAACACAAGCATAGTTGTGTTTGATAGAGAAACCTGTATAATACGGAGCTTAAATAAAATAATGATGTGTATATTGACTAACGATAGTGGTTGGGTAAAAGGTGATTGAGGTAATTGGTGGTACCTGGTTGATGGGGTTAGTGGTGGTACGGTGAATAGGTATGGTATGTGGAATGGGAATGGGTGGGTGAGATGGTGGGGAAGAAAGGGGTGCTCAGAGTCGTGACTGGGGAAATGGAAGGGTATTGATGACTGGGACAGATGTAAATGTTAAAGTGTGCGGTGTTTTGTAGTGAGGGAGGGGGGGATAATAGGAAGGGAAAAGGGGGGGGGAAGTCGATGAACGATAGGATGGAAAGATGGAAAAGAAGAAAGTAACAGAGAGAGAGCGAGAGAGATAGATTTTCGTTTGATAGAGAGGCACGAAATACAGAAACGTCAATTTTTA